TACAGGTTGTTGTTAATAAACCTGGAGTAGTTGAAAAACGAGAACAGCAGTAGAAAATTCTATACATATCAAAGACATAGAAATAGAAATAAAAAAGAGTAACATTCATAAATCAAAATTAAGAATATTAACATTAAAAATCAAAATTAAGCAATGAAGTTCAAGAACTGTCTCTAACTCAAAAATATTAACATTCAATTATGTCTATAACTTGAACAACCTCGTAAAAATCGAAATTCAAAAAAGAATAAGAAATTTCAAGAACGATAGAACATACAGAGATTCACAGTCAGATTATCAGAAATCAATTTCACCTCTAGCAGTCGATTCTGAAAGACCGAACCTTCAAATTTCCAACAGTTAAGAAAGAAATCCAATTGAAGCAGTAACTGGAACTCTCGATTCAAGTCTCTAGGTCAGATTCCTAAAATGAATCAAATAACTTGATTAACTTCCCATTGGTGCTATATCAGAAAAAGGAAATCGACAACAAGAAGGGAACAAATAGAGTTTCCCGTATTCTGAAATCGTGAAAAGAACGAGACACAATCAGTCTCTCAATTCTAAAATAACATTCGATTCACTAACGATTGTTGTGGACGAATTCGGAAAATCAAAAAAGAATGAAAGAAATCGATTAACTTGAAATATTGAATAAGAAATAGAAGAATGATCATTAACTCTTGCTTTTGGAGAAGATGTCCTTTGGATTTTCCATGGCAATGTTTGGATTTTCCATAGAAATCTGACTGTTGAAGAGTTACGACGCCTTGGAATTCGGACGCACACTAGGTAAGACTCATTCTCTCCCACCCTCCATATTTTGGATTAGTGCTTGATCAGAGTATTAGGGTTTGAAGTAGTCCAGCAGGCTAAAAAGTAATGGGCTATTATATATAACCGTTAATATATAACCAAAATAACAAGTTAAAAATTAGGGGCCATTGGCATTTGGGGGCCCGGGGCGGTCGTCCAGCTTGCCCAGGCCCATGGGCCAGCCCTGGTTGTCCTTTCAAAGGTTTTGGAGCCTCTTCAGTCATAAAAATGTAATCTTGGACACTAGTTTCTTCTCATACATGGCCTAAGTTGTCTTAATGGATTAAGAGGTTAGGATCTTTGGTGTTGGGCACTTAATGGCCATGCAAGACCATAAAATTGGAAACTTTATGGTCAAGGACATAATTTTGGACATGGATCTGGAAAATGGACTTAAGGGCTTAAGGATTAAGCTCTTAATGAGTTGGGTTGGCAGCCAGCTGTGTACGCTGGGCGTACAAGGCGTACGCTATGAGTACATGGTCAACAAGCTCGTACCTGGTCAACCAACGTGTACCCTGGGCGTACTCAACTGGGTTGACTCGGTTGACTTTTTGGAATTTTGACTTTTAATCAAGTTTGACCTAGGGGTATTTTGGGTATTTTTGGATTGTGTTTGAGAATTGGTCATTTGGATGGATATGTGACGGTTAGAGCTGAGATTCAGAGTTGGGACCTCATAAGCTATTGTTCAGATTGAGAGGTGAGTCTTCGTCACTGTACTTTTGGGTCGAAGGCACCAAGGCCAGCCCATTGGATTGAATATCCTGTTATATGATAGCATGTTATTATCCTATAGAGATTTGTTAGATCGGTATCCTAATATATATAGGATGTTATCATGTAGTAGTGATCTTTAGATTTGCCCGTTTGTCTATTGACTAGTTATATGTTTATCTGTTATGTATATGTCGACATGTTATGTTTTGGTTGGGTTGAGGCGGTCCTGCGTTGTGCTTAAGGCCAAGATACCCGGGGCGGTCCGGATAAACTGTAGGCACTGCGAGGCGGTCCAGTCAGGCCGAAGTCTCGGAGAGCGGTCCGGACAGGCTATATGCCCTACGAGGCAGTTCAGTCATGCTGAAGGCTCAGAGAGCAGTCCAGATAGGGCTGTAGGCCCTACGAGGCAGTCCAGTCAGGATGAAGGCTCATTTATGCACGTTGTTGTTTGTTATGTTTATGTGGTGGTACTTAGTGGGAACTCATTAAGCTTTGACTTACGGTTTTAGTTTATTATTTCAGGTACTTTTGATGATCGCGGGAAGGTGAAGGCGTGACCGTACACATCCTCATATTTTATGGCCTTATGATTTGGGATACTCTGATATTGATAAACACTTTAGAAACAATGATTTTGTAAACATTTTATGATTATGGGTTGTTTTGAAAAGTTCAAAATTGTTGTGATTTTTGAGACGTTACAAGTTGGTATCAGAGCCTTGGTTTGAGCGAATTGGAGGAACACCCGTGTGAATCCAGTCTCAAACTAAGGAGCTGCAAATGTTTTAAGCCTCAAAGGGACCCACAAGTGCATCTTTTTCAATTTAATCCACTAAGTACAAGTCTCCAACCTTCAGATCTGAATCAAAATGATGTTTAGATGGATAAAGTTTCCAAATTTATCCATAACAAGGTCACAAACTTTCAAGATCTAAACCTTATGCACTTAAAGTGACCAAAAGCTCATAACACCCAAAACTAGCTAGATCTAACAATTCCATCATCAAGATTCAAACTTTATAACTCTAGAAGAAAGATCAAGGTGAACAAAGTCTGGATCTACAAGCTCCAATGCAACCAACACTTCTTCAATGAGTTCCTTCTACTCCAAGGTGCACAAAGAACACTCCAAAGCACTTAAAAACACCTTCTTTTTGCTCACAAGGCTCAATCTAGGGTTAGGGTTACAAGAGAGGATGTTGGAGAGGTGGAAGCTGAGAATGAAATAAGTTTGGGGGAGTTAAGGAGCTTAAATAGGGCTCAAACCACAGAAATAGGGTTTGGGAACTGACCGCGTACGCCCAACTTACTCAATTTACGCCCAACGTACTAGGGATGCCCTAGTACGCCCAGCGTACGGGACTCAACCCAAAACCGCCCTAACTTCAAACGGTCATAACTTATTCGTTTCAACTCCGATTTCGACGATCTTTATATCTACGGAAAGGTGTTGAGAAGCTCTACAACCCTATCAACTCTCCTTTTCCTTAAAACTTACCGAACTTAAATCCAAAATTCATAAAAGGCTCGAATTATCACTCTATAGTTATACCATTGGGCTCCAAAGCACCAACCGAACTCTCGGATCACCTAATCTATATTACCCACATCCAAAGGGGCCTAAATCTCTTTCCTCTTCATTCTAAGGTTTCTAGGGTTTTAGGTGTAAGCCATTAGAGATAGCCATACTTTTGGTGCTTGCTTTCCAAGGAAGGTTTGAAGAAAGTAGATTGTTATATTTGATAATTGCAAAAGATATATAACAATAATCTTGTGATTTTCGATATTACATAGGTTAGATTAGTTTTTCAAAATGTGTTGCTATTATGAGAAAAACCATAGATCTCTAGGTTGCATGTAGAGATGCACACAAAAACCGGTTTCACTATTCAAAATCGGATCCAATCCGAAACCGGATCGGGTCAAAACCGGATCGGATCAGATTTAAAATCGGATCCTAATCCTACTTTCCAAATTGGATTTAATACCGGATTGTAAACCAGATTTTCCAAAAACCGGTTTGAAAACCACCCAAAATCCGTTAAAACCCCAAAAAAAACCAGGTCAAACCGATTTATATCGTCCCTTGGGAAACCGGTCAAAACCGGATCGGAATAAAGGCAAACCGGATCGACAATGACATAAGCGAAACCGGATCGACGATGACGTAAGCGAAACCGGATCGGATCGAATCAGATTTGGGTTTTGTGCACCTCTAGTTGCATGTGACCATAAACTGTTTTATGCAAATTCCTTGTTTGACTATTACAGACTTATGTCAACATAACATGAAAACTCGAATTAAAAATCTATGATCCTTTCCGAAAAAGGAAAAACTTTCTGAAATGGATTTTAGAAATTCTACATTTCTAGAAATTGTTTTTTTTTTTTTTTTTTTTTTTTTTTTTTTTTTTTTTTTTACATCCCGTGAAGTTTAACAAGCAAATTAGCATTTTCAGGCTCCGAAATCCGTAGCATATTTACAAAATTCGACAAACCCTTACAAAAACTAAAAAACTTACCTGAGGCGAAGTACATTCAATATACGCACATGAAAGGGTTCCATTTTATGAAAAAACCGTTGATACTAAGCATTTTGGAAGTTGGGTTCGAGAGATAATTTTTTTTTTTTGAAGTGGTAGGGACAAATGAAAGTGGAATAAAATTTATATATATTCCTAACTCTAAAATGGATCTATTTTGCATATAATGGTCATTTTGGTAAATGCCCAAAAGTTTGGTCACCAACCTATAGTTACTAGTTAGACATAGACTGTTTAGTTTGTCTTTGATATTTAACTGCTCCATCTATGGTGAAACTTTTATAAACATTTTGGAGTTCTAACATGTTTAAATTATTTGTAATTCTCCAATGCCGTTAAGAAATAATATTTTCTTTTTCAAAATATAATATTATTTTCAACATAACAAACATAAATCTCAAAAAGATAACATTTAAGTAATTTTTTTACAAATATCTTCGCCTTAAGTTATGTAAAAGGAAATTTATTGTTTTCATTAACATAATGTAATTTTTCAACAAAAAGAAAAAACAAATGACTTATAAACAAAACAAATTATTAATTTACTATGTAAATATAACATAACCGAATTATTATTGATTAATAAGCAAAAGTATAACATGACCGAATTATTAATTAATAAGCACTAATTTATCAAGGTTATACATATTTAATTATTTATAAATATTCAACTTAGATTACATTATGCAAATCATGAATAAACTAATTAACGAAAACAAAAGAAACATAGAAACACAATTAATCCGTACAGGAATATCCGTCGGTATTAAATTACATAATGTTTGAGAAATTTTATGTAAATATATATAAGATAAGGATGGCTGAATCACACAAATTTTCAAAAAAGAAAAATACTTGTGGTCCGTGAATACAGATTTTTATGGATAACATAGCTAACCACACATACCATGCAATGCAACACCCCCCACCCACACCCTACCCCATGTAAACAATACGACATTTCCATCAACTCAAGACTAAAAACTTACAGAAAAAATGGTAGTATCACTCTCCACCACCGGAGTCCGGCAGTTACATGGCAGCTCTGGATTGTCTCCTAGGGACTGGAGACCTGTCAATGGCGACTTAATGGGGAAGAAGCTAAATTTCAGTCAAAGGGTTCAAAAGAAAAACAATGTGAAATCAAGCATACAAATGACCCTCACCGCCATTCCCACAGGTGAGGCAAAGGTGAGTTTTTGACTCTTTTCTCTTAAAAAAGTCAAAGTCAAAGTCTGATCCCACTCGGAATCTTGACTCGGTGGACGATTTATGCAGTTGAGGGACTTAGAGATGGAGAAAAGAGACCCAAGAACGGTTGTGGCGGTGATTCTAGGTGGTGGAGCGGGTACTCGTCTTTTCCCTCTGACAAAACGCCGTGCAAAGCCTGCAGTATGTTTTTATTTATTTATATATTTATTTTTTATAAAGTTTTGTTGAAATTGAGATGTTTTAGGTAAATGTGGTGGATTAATGTATGGTGGTTGTAGGTGCCGATTGGTGGAGCGTATAGGCTGATTGATGTGCCTATGAGCAACTGCATCAATAGTGGGATCAATAAAGTCTACATTTTGACACAATATAATTCAGCATCACTCAATAGGCATTTAGCACGGGCTTATAATTTTGGTGTTACATTTGGAGACGGGTTTGTTGAGGTATGATTGATCACATTATGGTTCTTGTAGGCCCCGTTTGTCACATGAGATATGAGGACGGGACAGGATAGGACCGGACAAGGGGTTATTTAAAATGATCATGATGATGATGGCATTTACGTCTTTTCCACAAACGAGAGATCAATGGCGAGTCCATGTCCCACATTGAGTGGGACAATGAGACAATCAAGTGTAATTCTTTTGCACCAGAAGATCAAAAGAAAGTCTTTGTCTCACATTGTTCCACATGTTTGCGTGGGAAAAATATTGCAATTTTTGACTCTTTGACATTAGTCTCGATCTTAGTCCCATGCACACCAAATGCAGTATGTAACAAGCAACAAATATGGCTCCCATAGGATCTTGTAATAGTAATATTGGGCTATTTTTCGATGATGAGCATCTTTAGTTGAGAGATATAGAGTGAGTCCCGTCTCATCTAGTTCAACTTTTTTGTTGGAAAAATATTGCAATTTTTACCATTTATCACGAGTCACAATTTGAGTCCAATGCATGCCAAATGCAGTATAATTCGGTTTGTGTTGTCCTGTCTTGCATAACAAATGACCAGTATGGCTTACATAAGATCCCATAAAATAGTTGTTGGCTGTTCAAATCATTTAACATACAAGACATTTAGAGTGAACCCAGGTTCAATTTTTTTTAACATGCTAGGTTGTATGTTGTCTTAATCCTTTGACATAAATCTCAAACCAATTTTTGACTTAATAAAGTTAGACCTTTTGTTCTATCCTACAATACAGTTCGTATGACTCTCATATGATCCCAATATCCCATAATAGTAATTACTTGATTTTAGGCACTATCTGCAACACAAACTCCCGGTGAGGAAGGTAAGAGGTGGTTCCAAGGTACTGCAGATGCTGTTCGCCAGTTTCACTGGCTCTTTGAGGTACCCACAACTTAATATTTATGTCAAATGAAGGTTTGCTTTTTTTTTTTAAAAATTTTTTTTAAATTTTATTATTTTTATTTTTTATTACTGATATAGAGTATAGACTATGTACTTGCACACATTTACCCATAAGGGCAATGTACTTACATTTTTACTCATAATAGCAACCCACAAACTTTTTTTTACCAATAATAACAACATAATTACATTTTTTGCCGATAATAGCAATATTTAAACTTACGTTTTATACACCTAAGAGCAACGGTTACTAACCCATTATAGCAAGTTATTACATTTCTATACTAATAATAGCAACGTACTTATAGGTACTACCCATAACAACAATGCGCTTACATTTCTTTATTGATAATAGCAACTTCTAAATGAAACTTGTAAGTAATTTAAAAGTTTCACTTTATATATTGCTCTTATCAGTAAAGAAATATAAGTACATTGCTATTACAAAAAAAAAACTTTACAAGTGCGTTTCTATTATTGATAAAAAATAAAGTACATGGTCCATATTGGTAGCTAGAAGAAACTAGGCTTCTATTTTCATCAAATTCTCCCTAATATCTAAATCTGCATAACTGTAGGATGCAAGAAGCAAGGACATTGAGGATGTTCTCATTCTATCTGGAGATCACTTGTACCGAATGGATTATATGGATTTTGTTCAGGTGAAATCTTAAAACCATTCACAAATTTGTTGCTATTGGAAACGAAACCATAATTATATTAAATGTAACAAACAATATCTCATGCAGAACCATCGACAAAGTGGTGCAGATATTACACTTTCCTGTCTGCCCATGGATGACAGGTTATATTAACTACAAATAGCAACATACTTTTGTATTTGTTTATTGCAACATCATACATCAATTTCTTTTCATATTTAGAGCATTGTTACTTTGATAAATCTACTCATTGTAGAAATGTCATTTAAATACAAAGCAATTTTCACTGCTATAACGCGATAGATTATTCAAAGTATAATAATTTGAAAAATAGTGAAAAAATAATTGGGTATATCTTTTAAAGTGCAATACTTTAATAAGAAAAAAGGAACAATGTTGTAATAGAAAAACCAGGAAACAAAAAAAGTTACAATGTTGTAATGCACGTAAATCAAAGTAGGATGATAAATTACACATAAATAATAGTATGATGCGTTCTCTTGCGTTTAACCCATCTATTTATACTCACAAAATGCACAATCAAAGAATAAATCGACTTTGATGATGAAGAAAATATTTATGTTTTTATTTATACTATGAACATGGCTTTCATTTTGGTATTCTTTTCAGCCGTGCATCAGATTTTGGATTGATGAAGATTGACGGAAAAGGAAGAGTCATGTCTTTCAGTGAAAAGCCTAAAGGGAAAGACTTGAAAGCCATGGTAAGTGCTCTAAACACAATAAATAGCAACACAATTTCTTTTATTAGTTTATAGCATCCTATGTTCATTTCTTTCTTTGCAGCATTGTACTTCCCATTTTTTTCTTCTTAAGATGTTGTACTTTGAAAATTCTTCAAAGACGTCAAAATTGTTATGTATTTGGATGGAGTAGTTACATTGGGTAATGTTCTCGAAGTAAATTGTTGTAGTAGGAGGAAATGAAAGTAGGATTCTCTAACAAACAAATTAATAAAAGTAAGAAGCAATTTCTAGCATTTAACCTTGTGGTAAAATGGATCTTGTTTGGGATAGTGTTAGATAAATCCATATGATACACAACCTTTAATATGAAATTTGTTCTCCAGGCAGTAGACACAACGGTTCTTGGACTTTCTAAAGAAGAGTCTGAAAAGAAACCATACATTGCTTCCATGGGAGTATATATTTTCAAGAAAGAGATCCTTCTGAATCTTTTGAGGTACGTGACATCAATTTATACATATCTTTCTAGGGCTATTTTTAATGATGAATATCCACATTCACCTCTTTTGTATAGGAAATAAATAAATAGCAAGACGTGTCCTACCTTTTGGGTGGGACAAATATTGCAACTATAGTCCCATTAACATCAATCCCAGTCCAATACATGTGGGGACCACCTGTTTTGTCCTGTATAAAAAACGGGGCTTAAAGGACTCCCAATGACATAACGGAGAACATATTTACAAATTCACATGATTTAACGGTAAAATATACAACATATATTCAAATTGTGTAGCAAAGATCTAAGTTATTTAAAATAAAAACTTGATTGTATAACTTTTGTAGAATTTAACGAAAAAAAAGTATGAGAGAAAAAGGCATGACAAAAATACAAGGGACAAGGTCCATCTCATCATTCCTCTTCATGGTGACTGATTATCCTGTCATGATTTAACTACTAAATATTTTACAGATGGCGGTTTCCAACAGCAAATGACTTTGGATCAGAGATTATCCCTGCTTCAGCCTCAGAATATTACATAAAGGTTTGTTGAACCTATTGTGAATGAATAAACCACATTATTATGCTCAAACTTTCCCTTTTTGCACTTAAATATAAATAAGGTTTAGTAGCTTATGTTCAACTACATCACATAGGTACAACCTTCTTACTATATTCAATATACATACAATTTTTTTACAGTATATGTGTTATGTACGTATACAAACATGTATGTATGTATGTATGTATGTATGTATGTATATCAGTATATGAAGAGTTTGTATGAAAGTGCAAAATTTCATTTGCAGGCATATTTGTTTAATGATTACTGGGAGGACATTGGTACAATTAAATCCTTCTTTGAAGCGAATCTTGCCCTTACAGAACATGTAAGTTGTTTTCTCTATTTCTATTAAAGTTCATGCCATTTTATTCATTAAGTAAGTCTCAAAGGAAGCTGTAGAGTCAAAAACTCATAATAAATCACAATATGATCCATTGGTCATGTTACTATTACTGAAAACAATTGCGATTGCATATTTTCAAGGGTTAAATGCAAGGAATAGCAACATACTTCCATTGGTTTGTTTATCATAGCATCCAAAATCCTACTTTCATTTCTTCCTAATATATCCCTGTACTTTGAAAAAATTACCCTATTATAGAAATGCCATCCAAAATTCCAAATACGAAACAATTTTCACTGCTATAAATGGGTAGATTTTTTGAAGTATAATTTTCTATTAAAAAAACTATGAAAGCGCAATCCTAAAATAGAGTAGAAATTTTCAAAGTGCAATGCCTCAATAAGAAAAGAACTACAAGTACAATGTTGTAATCGAAAGCAATGGGAGCAGGAGATACTATAATAATTAATACACAAATAAAGGAACAAGGAAAAAAGAGAAAAATTCATGTTCTAATGAAGAAGTTATGACTTATGACCAGTTTCAAATTGACATTCTGTTCATTTTGCTATAAGTGAAAGTACGTTATTATTTCATGCCATTTAGCCCTATTTGGGGTTATATTAAGCTATTTTCTACATTTAATTTTGCATTGCAGCCATCAAGGTTTAGCTTCTATGATGCAACAAAGCCAATGTATACATCTAGGAGAAATCTGCCACCATCAAATGTTGACAATTGCAAGGTCAGTAGCAGATAATATTCAAGATTCGTATGCTTTAAATATGTGGTATGATTTGATAACAAAACTACGTGAGAGTGACAATATTTTTAGACTAGGAATTCAAAAAATCAAAATTTTATGTTGCTTCAAGTTTATACACAAGAATAGTTTGTATCTAGCCAGAAGATTAGACTTCCTAAAGTTAAAGTGTTAAAATAGACCAATGGAATTTATCTTTACTTTTGCTTTTTGTTTCAATGTTGATAAACGTTTTCTATCTCAGTTCAATGAATACCATGAACAATTTTCGTCTTTTGCAATGAAGTTTAGTCGATATCCTGACTTCTTCTTTCACATTGTAATGCAGATCGTTGACTCAATCATATCACATGGTAGTTTCTTAACCGATAGCTTCATTGAGCATAGCGTTGTTGGCATTCGATCCAGAATCAATTCTAATGTTCACTTAAAGGTGTGTCATTGCATTCAAACTGTTATTCTTCAACTCCTACAAATCTTTGCACTTGTATGATGAACATGCTCTTATCTGCTAACTTTCTAGCATTACATTTTATTTGTCTTTCGACCAATATAACTTCTTATCTTCCTTCAATCTAAACTAATCCGGTTGGACATGTTTGTTGGGGTGCCTGGGACAGTATTTTATCCTTTTTTTCACTAATCCATTAATCTATAATTTTACCTTCATGAAAAAGACTAAAAAAATTGCTTGTATGCATAAATAAATGCAGGACACTGTGATGCTTGGTGCTGACTACTACGAGACAGATACTGAAATTACATCATTGTTGGCTGAAGGCCGTGTTCCTGTTGGAATAGGAGAAAATACAAAGATCACGTACAAATTCTTAAAAATTTGGTCAATTACACCCGATTTGTTATGAGATACAGGCCAGAACATGTTGTACTACTGTATTTGACTGAGACTGATATCAATGGGACACATATTGCAAAATTTTCTCCCACCTAAAAAGGCAGGATAGGGACTCACTCTTAGTCTCTTGTCTATGCAAAAGACATGAATACCCTCCTCATCGTCATCATCAAAATAACCCTAGAAAGCATGTTTAGCGGTCCTGTCACGTGTAACAAATGCCACTTAAGTCAATAGGTAAATGTTGTTCAAATACTTTTCTTGATAATGACTTCTTAATGATGTTAATTTGCAGAGGCTGCATCATTGACAAAAATGCCAGAATTGGAAAGAATGTAGTCATTGCAAATTCAGAGGTTAGCTCATTGGATAATATGGTAATTGTCTAATAGAAAATGAAAGGGTTCGGATTACTGAAAATTTGTATTTTTGGAATTACAGGGAATACAGGAGGCTGACAGATCTTCAGAAGGGTTTTATATTCGATCAGGCATTACAATCCTATTAAAGAATTCAACAATTAAGGATAGATTAGTTATATAATTCATTTTGTTTTTTGTTTATTCTCCGGTTTAAGGATGAAAATGGAGAATGTTGAAAGATGAAAATTTCTATGCAGAGAAAGGATCAACAGGCTGGTATCACTGCCAAGCTTCTGTAAATGTGAATAGACTGCAATTTTCGACTTTATAAAATAACGAAATTTTGCTTCAGTGATGTAAGCATGTGAGATGAAACTTCAACTTTATAAAATAATTGACATGTAAGCGTGTGAGATGATCAGATGAAATATGTGTTTATGTGGATGCAAGGTTTAAAGATAAATATGAATAATATTGATAAAGATGATGGTTTGCTTCACCAACAATCCCACTAAACCAAAAAAATGAGAGGTTTCAATTTGGCAAATAGTTCAATGGAAGTGATTGACTACTATTAAAATATATAAAAATAACCCTAGCAAAAGTTAGAGAACTTAGTGGACAACAATGAATGACATCAATACTTTATATGATTACTATGGGCAAATAGGTAATTTTTCCAAAAAGTTAAGCTTGGGAAGCTCACGAAGCAATGATGCTTCATATATCATGCTCTTTTGTTCCATTTGATGATGGATTCAGTTTAACCCGGTTTCTTGTATACCAAGAAGACATGGCAATATGCATCACTGAGAAAATAAATAAGAAATATGGAGAAAATCAAGAGAACAATAATGATACTGAAATCAAATTACATTAAAAGGCATAACATCAATATATACTTACAGTTATAGAAACAACTTTTGATAGTCATTTGCATATATTTGTAAAACAAAGCGCTCATGTGATGTTAATATGGAGGTAACAATGCATTTAGTTTCTAAAAATTGTTTTCTACCTGTTCTTACAGCTTGATGTAGATAGTGGACTGCATCTTTTGGTAAGTCAAAGTATACATGTGACTATGTGAGTTGTATCAGGCAAATCGATGCCTCTACCCTCTATATGAAGGGTGGTTCCTAATTAAATGAAGCTGATAAAAATGAAAGAGATAACAATACTTGTGACGGTAGGTCGTATACTCGGAGCCAGTGCTAGTAGATTCAAGGTCCTGTGCAAAAACAAATAAGATGTCCTTTAAATTACCAAAAAACTATATTCAAATTGCCAAATTTTAAATACAAATAATAAGTTTATTGTGGGATGATCGGATCCGAGTATCATTCTTCAGGAAGGAACCAATTTAAATACTTTCAATATCCTCAAGAAAAATATATGCATTATCTCATTCAAGAACATAAATACATAATTTTATATTGATTTTTATGGAAAGTTATCAACACATGGGTCAATTACAAGTTTACAAATGAAAATTAAGGTTTTTGTTGGAGAAAATGATGACAAAATTGAAACTATAAACCACTTATCACAATTTATATAAGACTATTGCAAAATGTTTGAGTAAGTTAAAAACACACATTTAATGGGGATAGAACCCTAGTCCCCGGGTTACAAAAATAATACGCTTACCAACTGAACTAGGAGTAAACTTTTTAATTTTAACTTTCCACCAGGATAACATAAGTCATAATTTTTTTTAAAGGTAGGTCCTAAATTTTTTTCTATAAGAATTATATACTACCTCCGTCTCAAATTTATTGTCTACTTTTGACTTTTGAAGTCTTTACTTTTTAACTTTGACCTTAAATATTTTTGTTTTTTGATATATAATACTTGATGCAAAATATATGAATGAGTTGTGTTTTAAATGTCTTTTCATTGTTATAATTTTTTATAAAATAATTTCTATACGTATAAAAGTATTTAAGATCATAGTTGAAAAAATAAAAACTTCAAAAGTCTAAGGTGGACAATAAATATAGAACAGAAGGAGTATAAATTTTAAAATTTAGGTTGGTCATGGGATCCACCTAAGCCCTTCTTAAATTCGCCATTGTCGGAAGGGGACGGTTCACCTTGTCTCAGTTCCTGTTTCCAAGTATTCGTTTTGTAAATAGTCGTTCATTTAGCCGAAACAAACGTTAAGTATACTATTTTTTTTTAAATTAGTTATCTAAGTTAATTAATATCATATTATTATTTATAATTGTTATTTATTTATTTTATTTTTCTGATTTATTTTACGTTTTGTTCGAATATATTAATTAGTATTGAATTTTATTTTTTATTTTATGCTTTTATACAAATATATTATTTAATATTTGTTATTTATTTATTTTTAAAATTTTTGTTTCTTTAAATTCTTTAATGTTGAACTTTTTACGTTACAATCATAGTGAAAATTATTCATAAACACGTTTTGTTCGAATACACAGGATCATATAAAAATAAAAGTGTCCAAGACTCGAAAAAATAACTCAAAAATAGGATTTAAAACATTCTTTTCTTGTTGAATGTAAAAAAAATGTTACCTGTTATATATATATATATATATATATATATATATATATATATAATATATATATATATATATATATATATATATATATTATTTTATTAATTTTTTTAAAATATGAGTTAAAATAAATACAAAAATAACTCGAAAACAGGATTTAATACACCCACTGTGCACACCGACATTACCTTTTAATATAGATATAATTGCTTTTATTAGGTTTTATAATAAATATTTTGTTTTATAACTATATTACGTGATTCTCTAAAGAAAAACATTCTTTTTACATATTTTTAATAAACACGTAGTGTATATAGAAATATATTAGATATAAAACTTAGATATAATAAAAAAGTACAAACAAAAAATAAGATAAAAAATAAGAATATAATCTAAACAGTTTTTTGAAGAGATAAGAAAAAAATACAAAAAAAAAAATCAAATCATTTTGATCGACAACTCTAACTTATTCCACTATTTGACTAATTTTTTAGAGAAAACAATGTAATTACAACCACTAAAGAGTTATTTTAGGATGCTATTATATATATCCCTCTCCGATCACATAAATTGTCAAATAATGAGGGGTACTTATAGTATTCCACTCATAGGGTATATATATATATATATATATATATATATATATATATATATATATATATATATATATATATATATAGGTTATAATGTGGATGACATCTATTGTGTGGTCGTAAGGATAACTCTGGACCAATTGATGAATATAATGAATGCTTATGAGTTGAGGGTCTATGATATTACTATGAGATATCATGTACAATATAATCACATAAATTTTAGTATAAGGGTATTTTAGTTAAATAAACTACATTTATAAAAGGAAATTTCGTATTTTTAGGGGTTAGTAATTCTCTTAATTTTAAAAATATAATTTTAATAGATAATAATTCTTTTATTTTGGGTCATTCTAGCAAAAAATGTTTATGAGTATCTTGAAACATTCTTGAACCATAAAAGAATAAATATTCTGACAGAATACATATTTTGACAGAATGAACTTCTTGAAAAACAACAAATTCTTGAACCATCAATTGAAGAATAAAAAAAATTACACTAATTCTTAAAGAATATGGGTAACAATTGTTAAGAATTATATTTATTGTTAAATAATAAAACTAAGAATGGTTAAAAATTGAAAAAAAATAAAAAAACTAACAAAAGACACTAGTACATTCTAAAAGAATCTTGTTGCTGAGAATCACTTTCAATTTTGCAGTCAGCATCTGTGAAACAAAATCCAATTGTAGTTTAGAACCCAATAATACATTAGCAAATGAGAAATAATAAACTAAAGTCTTTTGTACAAATCTGAAGACCTATGAATTACACCAAAATCCATAACCAAGAATTGTAGAAAATGCACAAATTAGTGATGAAATATCATGATTCCATTCCAATAGAATTGAAATTCCTGCTTCCATTCCGAAAGAACTGGATTCAATTCTGACAGAATGACCCCTCACCAATACTATATATCAGTGTAAAATGAAAATTTAGAATATCAAACAAACAAAAAAAAAACGGAATGTAACATGTAAGAAAGTAAAAGAAATATAAAAAAATGGAAACAAACAATTAATTTGAATGGTCGAGATAGTTCAGATGGGTTTGGGGATCTTCATTTTTGATGTACATATGAACCTAACACAAATTAGTATAAGAAAAAGCGTTCAATCAACTAAAAAACAAAACTACAAAACTAGAAATAAAGAATTAATAGTAAAACAAAAATCACAATGCACATCTCTCTTTGAGGCAAATTATCAAATAGGTGAAGGACATAATCAAAACAGCCACTCCAGATCTCTATTTGAGGCAAATTGCCAAACAGGTGTTGAAGTATTTTACTCATCTATGAAGTTATAAAAAAGACTTGTAGCTTCGTATTAACCCGACAATATTTCCCATTTTTATATCTATGTAACAATATTCTTATTGTGTAACCTGTTCATTTCATATACACATAAAAATAAATAACAAAGCTAAAGTTTTGGATAAGAAGTTGAACGATTTGGGGAATCATGGATTTGTATTATTATATATTATCCAATGAAAGAAAAAACAACATTTCATATAAGATTATCTAGATTTGAATTGTGCTCAAGCAGGGGCATTTTGTCGAACGCAAGGTGTGCAGGAATGAAAAATCAAAATTAAACACTACCACCTCTAGCTATATGAAATTGATACAGGGGACATCTCATTAATTCAAGATTTACCACAATCATAAATTCCAATGATAATAATTATATATATATTAAAGTTGTGGAAGAAAAGAATAGTAAACTTGAGATACTTTGTCCAAGTTTGGTCCCTTGATTTACATATCCGATCCCTGTACTTCTTTAACTAATTTATTCATGTTCATTTGTTTGTGTTCCATTCAACTTCCCATTTTTGGCAGAATTGGTCCCTGTATTATTGTTGGAAGTTAGGAATACTAAATTTGGATGTTTTTTGGCAACTTTGCTCATTATTCTTTACCCATTTTGACACTTTTGGTCCTTGTAATCAATATTTTTACACTTTTTTTGAACCTTTTAATATTTAAAGTTTGGCCACAAAACTTTAACGGTTTGACAACTTTGATCACTTTTCTAAAAAGTTGCTAATTCCTACCCCTTTAATTCTTTAGCCATTTTCACACTTCTGGTCCTTGCAGTCAAAACTTTTACATTTTTTGTCCGGGGCAAAGCCCAGACTTTTCATCCTTGCACTTTCTATGTCTGTCATATTTATCAATTCGGAAACAACAT